AAATACAACACTTGGTGGTTTCTCAGCTGCAAACCAAGCAGGTTCTTCGAGAAATTTCCAGAACAACAAAATGGCGTCCGGACCCAAGAAGAAGATCAAAGGAGCCTGCCATTACTGTGGGATTGACGGTCATTTTGCACGCCAATGTAAGAAGAAGAAGCGTGATCAAGCTTCAAGGGGAGTGGCTTCCGGTAACTTTCAACAAAATGGAGGCCAGCGCACACAACCTAATAGGAGCAGTGGTGTGCCGCAAGAAGGAGTCACACCTGGATTCGTGGCGTCACTTGTCGCCACTGTGAATCTACAACCTCAAGCCAACTCAACTTCGGCCAGGGATGATCGTTCGCAGTCGAGGACCCCATGTGATGAATGGCTGAAGGACAGTGGTGCCTCCTGTCACATGTCGTTTCGCCGGGATTGGTTCAAGGATTACCGTGAGTTGTCACCAGCTGTAAATGTAACGCTGGGGGACAATTCTGTTCATCAGGCAATCGGAACTGGAACCATCCAAATCCAGCGCAAGGTCGGTGAAGAGTGGCTTGTGGGTAAACTCAATGATGTGTTATATATTCCATCATTTAGTCGAAATTTGTACTCCACTAATCCTGCAACACGGAAAGGTTACGAAGTTGTGCTCAGGGGAGATGTTGTTTACATTGTCAATACAGAAAATGGCTCTGTCGTGGCACAAGGCAGGAAGCAGCTCAATAATATCTGCTCCATGGATTTTAGGGTTATTCCACCAGGTGTAGAGGTGAACAGCAGCTCTCTACAGGATCTTCATAGAAGCTTGGGACATGTCAACGTTGGAAGATTGAAGAAGATGATTGATGCCAAAGCTGTTGCCGGACTGGAGGATGTTGTTGGAGACGACTTTGTATGCAGGGGATGCATGTATGGCAAGTCTCATCGGTTGCCGAGTCGTCCTGCTGGTGTTGATGTGGTAAAATTTGGCAAGGGTGAATGCATTCATGTAGACTTGTGTGGCAAGATGAGTACATCACTGGGTGGAGCTCAGTATTTTATGCTGGTCAAAGATCGTGCTACGGGTTTCCGTCACGTGTATTTTCTGAAGCATAAATCTGATGCTGCCACAAATCTGAAAAACCACTGCATACTCATGGAGAAGCAGTATGGTATCAACATCAAGAGAGTTCGATGTGACAATGGCCTGGAGTTCTGCAACTCGACCTTGGTTGATTTCCTGAGAGGGCATGGGATCCAGATGTGTACGTCGGCTCCACATTGTCCGGAACAGAACGGCTTCATTGAACGAGACAACCGGACAATAATTGAATCCGCACGGAGTATGCTTCATGATGCAGCTTTACCACAGTCTCTTTGGGCGGAGGCTGTGAACACAGCTGTCTACGCTATGAACCGGACTATATCCAACAGTACTGGTAAGAAGACTTCGTTTGAATTGTGGCATGGTACCAGGCCATCAGTTAGGCATATGCTGCCGTTTGGTACTATGGGCTATATGCACCTGCCAAAGCTGACACGACAGAAGTAGGATGCCAAATCTTCAGAGGTGTTCCTGGTTGGCTACTTTGATGAGGTATACAACTACCGGGTCTACGATCCATCTGCTAACAGGATTCGGATTGTCCGGGACATTGATTTTGTGAAGACTGACTTCCAGGATGACAATCGGAGTATTGTCATTAACATTGGTAAGGCTAACAGTGTTCCTCAGAGACCTCAGGTATCTGTACTGAAACCACCTGATGTGTCGGGTTTGGGGGAGAAACCAGCCTTGGACCAATCCATTTTGCAGTCTGAGCAGCCTTCTGATCTGGGTGATGGGTTGATCGAGCAACAGGTCACTGCAACAGCACCAGTCCGAGGCAGGAACATGAACAAAGAAAACTTTCCACCTTTGAAGAGTAAGACCAAGTCCAAGAAGAGAAACAACTCTGAGTCGCCTAGCCGAATGCAGTTAAGATCAAGAAAGAAGATTAAACTCCCAGGACACCTTCGGGATTATGAAGTCTATAATGCCTCATGTCCTCTGGAATCACAAGGAGTCCAGGAACCATCGTCATTCAAAGAAGCTCTGGAGAGTAATGAATCTGCCAGCTGGTCTCTGGCAATTCAAGAGGAGCTTGATGCTCACGAGAAGAATGGTACCTGGACGATTGTTGAGAGGAAGGAGGGTGCTAACATTATTGACTCAAAATGGACGTTCCAGCTCAAATACGATGCAGCTGGTAACGTTAGCAGGTATAAGGTGCGTTTATGTGCTAGAGGTTTCTTGCAGGAGTATGGAGTGGACTACAATGAAACATATGCTCCGGTCGTTGGCTATGAGGCGCTGAGGGTCTTGTTTGCAGTCGCAGCCCAAGAGGACCTTGAAATGCAGGACTTTGATATCAAGACGGCGTTCTTGTACAGTGGACTGGATGAAGAAATCCAGGTGAAGATTCCGGAAGGTGTAAATGTTGAAGACTCGCCGAATAAAGTATGTAAGCTGAACAAAGCGTTGTATGGTCTTAAACAGGCCTCCAGATGTTGGAACAAGAGGTTCACTGAGTTCCTTGATAAGTTTAGTTTTGTACAGTGTGCATCTGAATGGTCTGTGTATGTGTGTAAAGAAAGATCATTGTATTTGGCTTTGTTTGTGGATGACGGAATGTTATTCGGCAAAAGTCGTGAACAAATCGACACTGTGATAAATGCTCTTAAGTCTGAATTCGACATAACCGTAGGGTCGACTGAGATGTTCATTGGGATGCAAATTGTGCGTGATAGGATGAACAAAACAATTATATTACATCAGAGTGCCTATTCACAGCGCATACTTGACAAATTTTCCATGACAAATGCAGTCCCGGTGAGCATACCAGCCGACCCCAGTATCAAGCTACATGCGTCGGGTAGCACTGACTTTCCAGAGGTTCCTTATCGTCAATTGATTGGTAGCCTTTTATTTTTAGCTAATGTCACGAGACCAGACTTGTCTTTTATTGTGAACTATCTTAGTAGATTTAACAACTCTTATGATGTATCACATTGGAAAGCAGCTAGACAAGTATTAAGATATTTAAAGAAAACAGTCCACTTTGGTATTCGTTTTGCTGGTAGTGAGAAAGGCATCACAATCCATGCATTTGCAGATGTTGACTTTGGTGGTGACCTTGATACAAGAAAATCAACTAGTGGTTGTATTGTAGGAATAGTATCTGGTCCAGTTATTTGGTTATCGCGACGTCAGGATGTAGTTGCACAGAGTACTATGGAAGCTGAATATATAGCAGCAAATATTGCAACTAGGGAAGTAGTTTGGCTTCAACGTTTTTTATCTGAAATAGGATTAGCTCGGGATGATCCGGCTTTTATATATATAGACAACCAAAGTGCAATTACGTTTGCTAATCATCCGTCTCTTGTTCGTAGTTCCAAGCACATAGATATTAAATATCACTACATTCGAAGTATTTTGGAAAGTGGAGCAATTGAAGTTTTATATGTTAATGGCGAAGAACAATTAGCTGATTGTCTTACTAAAACACTGGCCAAGCCCAGATTTGAATTTATGCGGGATCGAATAAATGTAGTGGATATACTCGAACACAGGGGAGTGTCAGATTAGGTTGAGTTAGAGCATATATGAGTGTGTGTCTGTGTGTGTGTGGTGGCGTGATCGTCGCATTCGTTGAGTGAGCATTGCTGCTCTCTCTCTTCCACTCTCTAGTTACTTGGACTGTAGTATCCAGCCAGTCACCATGCTACACGCTCTCGCTGTCCGTGCTGTTTTATTTATACAATTGTCATTATAATAAATTCCAGTTTTACCAGTTAACCTGTTTATCTCTTTTATTCACGTGATAACCATGCATAATCTCAACAAAAGGACTCCGAGGGGTGGACATGTTACGTCGATACTAAGGAAACATATGTGATGGACCATGATAAATAATTAAATATCACGGGTTATGGTAACTAATCGGGTATTAGTAATTTAACTTCCTATCGTATCAACCCCCCCGGGAACATTTGTAAATCTATCACGTTCTCCATAATATTTCCGCGAATATTACTCACCACATATTAATTTGGTAAAAACAAGGGGAGGGGCACATCAGCCTATGGTATAAAAAGGCTGGATCAGGATCCGCGGTAGCTCATATTCAAGCTAATACTCATACTCGTACTTATACTTATTTAGTTATTTCTAAGTTTCGCTACCCGGCTACTCAGAACCGGAATTATACTCTGCTAAGCATTATAAACTTGTCTTTCAACAATAATTCTCAATCAAGTGCAAACACCTGAGACTGTTTCGTAAAATATTTTCTTAAACCCAGTCTTATCAAGGTAAGAAACTAAGTTATCTACCTAAATACACTTCATATAATAAAGGCGCTATCCCTTTAATCAATCTTCACTTAACTCCAGCTGACTAAGATCCAACTTTTACCAACGCTACAGTATTTTAAACATTATTACGTCTAGCCATAACATCTTTTCGCCTAGACATAACATAGTATAATGATAGAACAGCCACAAGGGTACAACAGATCTAGATGCGTTATGAATAGGAGAAAAAGAAGTTTGAAATCGGTGACAGAATGCTGATCGCTGGGCATACCGCAGCTTAGCTAAGAGATTTACCGCCATCTAGTAAACTGAAACTGAAACAGTACTGCTGCATGACTAATAGACGAATGGTTTTTATTAATTATCTAATATTTATGTTAATAATTTTACAAAAGTAAAGAGGATGCAGTTAAGATCAGCCAAGGTGCATTTTTTTTGTCTGTTTAAATTATAGAAATATCGAATATTTACGAAGATTTGGCCATTCCAAAAATCCGTAAAGTTAGAAATTTTTTGTAGAAAAACTAGGATGGTGCGTTTAAATTAGAAGCAATTTTGGATAGTGCAGTTAGAGATATTTTAACTTGTATTTTTTGTTTTTACTGTAATTCAAGTTTGCTGGCTGGGGTGAGGTGGGTCAGTCATTCTGCAAACAGTCTATGATTCATGAAAACTGTTTATAAAATAGTTTTATGAAAACTTTATTAATTATGAAATGTAAATGTAAATTTGTTATTTGATTTGAATGAAATTTTTTCAGTATGCGTGCCTTTTACTTTTCACATAATTAGAATAGAAAATTTTTATTTTTGAATATTGTTAATGCAACAAAATTTATCCATTAAGAATGCCTATATAACATTCAAAGTAATAAGTAATTATACTTGTAAAGATATGATTATTGTAAAAATGGAAAATGCTTACAGCTGTCAATCTATTTCTATATAGAAGCATCATACTTATTGAGTACATAATTCTATATTAATAAAGGATATGATAATCAAGTTTGTGGTATTAATTTTGAGTGGTTTATAAGAAGTTATAGAATTGGTCACAAACTATGAACTAATTAAAATTATTAAGCTTAATTCCATAATTTTTATGACTATGTCAATATCATTAATGCAGACTAGTGGAATATTAATGGGATCAGCTCCAACTAATACAGCACAAGTAAGCCTTGCTCTAGCTACAACTACTGTGGGTACTGTGAGTCAATCAACAACTTATTTTTGCACCAATCCATCAACGGAAATAGCCCAATTACCTCATCAATCCAACCTGGATACACTTCAACCAGACCGACCTATTGGATATGGAGCATTTGGTGTTGTTTGGTAACTTATTATAGTTTTCTCTATTAGGCAATTTGAGAATCGAAGATTATAGATTTTATTTTTTTGAAAACCTAGATAAAAATGGTGAAATTCCAAGAACTTTTATAGATTTCAGGATTTTTTGACTATTTAGTTAATGTTTCTGAGCATTGGACTAATTAAGTTATGAAATATATAATTATAAAATTGTCAATAATTTTTTTTATACTTTCAATAGTTTTCAATAGTACTTTATTTATTAGTTTTAATAAATATAACAAAACAATTCAAATAATCAAAAGAATACAAACTATATATAAATTCACTTATCTATATTTATTTTTTAAATTTAGAAATAAATTGGTTTTGCATTTATTTGAATATTTAACTAAGAAAGATAGATTTTATAATAAACCATATTTTTTAATATAGTGTTTATCAAATATTATGAAAATTATAGCGCGTATAAAAATATTATGTTTCATATATTCCCTATAATTATATTAAATAAGATTAAATAAACTATTTTCAAAATTGATATCTAGCAACTTAAAACTTAAAAATATTATCCCAAATTTGTGAAACAAAATTTTCCACTAAAAATAAATAGGTACAGAATATGTATTAAATTTGTACATAAACATATATTAAATTTTTATAAATTTCGTACATATTTTTTCATAAAGATAAGATACTTGTACAAGTTCAGTACAATTCTAGTATAAATGTCTGAATTTTACATAAAATTTGCATGAAATTTTTACACATTTTATGGTAAACAATTCCATTTTTTTAAATATTGAATAATTAAGTAATACATGCATATTATGGATAAACTAATGTGACCAGCTTCGATAAATGATGAATTAAATACAAAAAATGAAAAAAAATAAAAGAAAGTATCTACCGAACCGAGAGTTGACCCTAGAACCTTCATGTTAGAAGATTTATAGTTTAATACTTTGGTACCAATGATACCACAGATATGGTTTTTTCATTTATATTATTTGCAATCGAAAAAATTATTTATGAATCATTTATTCGTATTCAAAAAACTGTATTTTTATAGGTGATATCGATGAACCTAAATTTAACAAAAAAATATAAATTGTAATGAACGGATGTTTGTTAAGAAACCGGCCGAAAATTCGAGAGCGTACTGAGAAGATGAGCAATGGAAGAGGAAGAGCGGCACGCCACTAGGTGAACTAGTTTTAGTTTTGTTTCAGATCCTGAACCGTAAGCAGAAATGAAAATGAATAAGAAATCTCATGGGACGGAAAAGCTTGTCGCTTTTGTTACCCATCTCCCACTTCTTGTTAACGGACGCGTTTTATCGTATGTTCGATATAACAGATTTCACGAGATTCGTCACCTTTCAGCACCAACAACTCGCGTGCCTACCCAGCCTGTCCCTCATCGTTATTTGCAATAAGGATGCTGGGGCTAGGTAGGTCAAAGTGAACATTTTCACAAGCGTTTTCATTTTTTGTTGTTTCACGTGCAATGCGCCTTAGGCTAGCTCGTGTATATATATTTTTTCTTCTATTTCTCTCTCTTTATTTCACTCGTCGCATTCAACAAGTATGTCGACTTGTTGATATCTCTGTTAGAGTGTGATTCAAATCTTTTGTCCAAGTCATTGAGCGCTGTTATTTCCATCAAAAGACAAAGATCGTATCTTTTGTATTATTTCATTTCGTATCACGTTTATATTCGCCCGATGAACGTTTAACTAATCTACACTCGCAGTAGAGAACATAACTTGATTTTTATTCATCTTTCCTTTGTCCACGCGAAACGAGTGCGCACCAACACCAAGCATAACAAGAGCGAATTAAAGTGATTGGTTAGCCTTAGACGGATAGACGAAGAATCTTTTATAACGTTAAGTAGTTGTGTTAAATCAACCGTTATAAAATGAACAAAAAGAATCTTATTACACACACATACACACACAAACACACAAATATAATTAAGCAATGTCTACTTAAATAAAATAATCTGAATTTAATAATAAAATGATTTTTTAAATATATCAGAAATAAATAACATTACCAAATTTTATGTATTTATTAATTGTTATTATCGCGCGCGTGCGTGTGTGTGTGTGTGTTTATACTTCCGTTTTTTTCGGGACTATTTGGATAAATAGTCGTTATTTTTGGGACGACTTGGAAGTTCTGTATGAACTTTCAGCTACAAAATCCAATTTTCTTGCCGTATGAATACGCAAACTGCGGTGGAATTTGATCAAACTGAAAATTCACATCTTATTTTAAAAGACCAGAAAATGTAGTTTAGTTTCGAGCTCGTCAGAGATTGTAGAGTTTGTTGTGGCCTAATGAACAGTGATGAGAATCCGATCACGCTACAAAAAATTTCATTTTCATGAAGTCGTTTCACATCTATATTGTTTATACAACTATATCCAAGATGCTCGTGGCACTGCAGAATATCAATCTTGGGCTTAGTTGTATGCGGTACGACTTAATGAAAATCAAATTTTTTGTAGCCTCATCGGATTCCTATCACTGACATTGAACAGTAATGGACATCATCAGCGCGTAGTGAACAGATGCTACACTACTGACAGCCTTGTCTGCAGATGTACTTCGCGGGTTTGCCAATAGCTACATAGCGCTACAATCGTCAGGAGCCATGTCCATTCCATACTATGGGATCCCTCTTCCTTTCCAACCCCGGGTCCGTCCCCATCCGAGCTTTATATGTACACGCGCCATCTCCGAGCTCAGTGGTGAATTTCATATTGAATGCGAGAAACGCATTTATGAAGTTACTATATCGGTGATTTACAGCTCCAATTTTATTCAACATGTAAATCGATGAGTTCGTAACCTTTCTTTCCATTATACCGTAAACCGTAATTACAACTAATTATCTATACTTTTAGTTTTATTAAATTGCAAAATACATAACGGATGAGGTCTTAAAAGTTAGTACCCAACGATTGAAATATTGAACAAAACTATAAACTAATTGTACCATTCGATTGGGCGGCTTTTAATTAATCACATATCGTTTGTGCATCGATTATGCTCATTTTCTTTATGTGAAAAACAGATAAAATTAATTACGGGTGCTGGCGCTAGCACCCAAATTTGATTCTTCAAATATAGTGGTTTATATCGTAAAAATAATTTTTTACAATATACCAATCATTAGTTCGTCTCACGCATTATTGGCACCCAACATAAAATTATTAAAAAGCTTATCATTTAATTAATTAAAATAAAATATTACTCTTGCGTATTTAAAAAGGTTATTATGACATTGTTTCGCGCATGCGCCTCGAATGGAACATTGTTGCTCAGTCGGAGACTTAATGCCATCTAGTATACCGAAGTAAAGTCAATTCAACTGAAGCATTGTTGTTCAGCTCACGAGTTCAGTCGGAGTGCGCCTTTTGTCCAGTGTCCATCAGTTTCGGCGGTGGACACTGGGACGTTTTTCAATTGAGTAAATAAAAAATATATTACTCAATTGGAACTCCATTTGATCATTTAATTACTAGTCTGATAGTAACTCTTTCATGTTCAAGTAAATAAATATATCTGTACACTGTAAGATTGGTTTTGTTTTCAAGTTTAGTTGAATTATTGTATCTCAGTATGACGGAATTAAATCAATATGCTTCAGTTGAATTTAGTTTACTTCGGTTTACTAGATGGCATTAAGTCTTCGACTGAGCAACAATGTTCTATTCGAGGCGCATGCGCGAAACAATGTCATAATAACCTTTTTAAATACGCAAGAGTATTATTTTATTTTAATTAATTAAATGATAAACTTTTTAATAATTTTATGTTGGATGCCAATAATGCGTGAGACGCACTAACGATTGGTATATTATTAAAAATTATTTTCACGATATAAACCACTATATTTGGAGAATCAAACTTTGGTGCTAGCGCCAGCACCCATAATTAATTTTATCTATTTTTCACATAACGAAAATGAGCATAATCGACGCACAAACGATATGTGATTAATTAAAAGCCGCCCAATCGAATGGTGCAATTAGTTTATAGATTTGTTCAACATTTTAGTTGTTGGGTGCTGACTTTTAAGACCTTAACGGATGCCTACAAGACGATATATCATAGATATAGCAACTTCATAGATGCGTTTCTCGCATTCAATATGAAACTCATCACCGAACTCGAAATTATAGAGATGATGTGCGCATACAGAAACTCGAACAGGGACGGACTCGGGGTCAGGGTAAGGCACCGATCATGGAGACTTATGTGGTCTCCATACACTGATCCCGTGTGGATACTGCTTTACATAATACATACTTTTTTTTTAATTACACTAATACAACAAATAGTTATACTTGGCTGGTTGGGATACAGTAGGTCACTCCAAGAATTTACTTGCGTCCCGTTTAAGTTCGGCATAGTTCGATCTTAATGTTGTGTGATGTTCGTATCACTTATAAATAATTCAAACTCTTGTATCTAGTTGCGCTAATGACTAAGAATTCATTTTTAATAAATCTACTCTATTTGTCAAATAAATTGAAAAATTAAATATAAGGTGATAAAATAAATTGAAAAATCAAATACGTATATGCGAATATGAATGAGGTGTCCAGGAAAGTCAGACTATGCCCTAGTTTCTTATGGTGCGAATTGTCCCATAAGCAGAGCTAAAGTCTTCTTGGGATTGGATATAATTCCGCCCAAGTTTCTTATAGCGCGAGATGTGCTATAAGTTGAGCTCGAATTATAGGAGAGGAAAAGTCTTGTTCAGTTAATTACAATGAGAGAAAGAACTTAGGTATTAGCCAAGTTTATTCAGACTCATGTGCTCACTTTGCAAGGCTAGAAGTGAATGCCAGCCTGTGCAATAGTGGGCGTATTTATACACAAATTTTCCCGTCTAATTTGCAGGAGCGTTTTCTTTGAGAAGTTTCGAATATTCGAGAAACATTCGCGAATTTTGAGAAATGAGTTTTCTTAATTTAAAGTAAATAAACATTGATAATGAGCTTT